TTATAATATATTGCACTGACTAGTGATTGCAGGCTTTCATGATATCAAGTAGATTATTTATGAACTAAACCCAGACAAACAGTGTTGATAAACATACATGTAGTGTGAACTATGGACCTACTGTAGGCTATAGCCATTAGTCTCCATGCAGTTAATAATCACATTAATATTGAGTGATACATTGCAATGGAATAAATGAATTAGGGAAATGATCAATGAGAGAGGAAGTGAGAGTGAAAGAAAGAGGGAGAGGGGGAATTACAACATACCAGTTGCACTGCCACTCTCAGGTAATCTCTCTCCAGGAAACAATGGGAAAGGATCCTAAAGTAAATGACAAGAACATTAACATGTAAGGTGTTAATCTAAGCAAATAAAGCAATAGACTTTATTAGACTACTGTATAGTGGGTATATTCCATTCGAGTTTAATTTCATTCTTTTCGTTCTCATTCCTTGTGGAACGAACATTTTCCAAACGAAAAAGGCGTTTCCTCAATGCCACGTGTGCAAAATGGCTGCTTAGAACGAACATTTTTCCAGACAAAATATACCCGCTATACGGTACAATGAGAAGATTAACATAATGTTATGAAGCAATTACAATCAATAGGAAGCATGTGTTGTGTCTACAAGGCACAAGTAGTCAGGGGGAATTCCCTAACCCATAATGAGCTACTTGAGGCTGCATGCCTTCATCGTCATGTCATGGTCAGAGAAATGAAGATGAGTTACTTCATCATTAATATTCTAATAACCTTCTCTTATACTGCAGGACAAGTCTTTCAAGGACATTTCTGTCTTACCTTGCAGAGCTATACTAATAATACTATATACTAGTAGTATTATAATATTATATACCTTAAGCCTACTATTTTTAGCGTCTACTAAATTTAGCTATATTAGCGAGAGAGCTTTAAACTGCTAAATTAAATAGACACCAAAATAATTATTATTCATTATAATGGTTATTATTTATAGTTAATTTGGTTAAAAATGCTAAAATTAGTAACGCTAAACATGACTTTTGCTGATTTTGCTAAAATTAGTAGACGCAAATAATAGTAGGCTTAAGGTACTACTCAAGTCTGACTTCACTTTAGGCAGCAATCAAAAATACAAAATGCTCAAACTGACCAACAGTTACAGACAAAAAATCAAAATGCAAGAATTAAGAATGCAAAAAGTAAAGCTGCAATCTCTTGTTAATTAAAGGGGTTTACCCACTAAGAGAATGTCCATTGCCCATAAGTAGCAGTAATTATTATTGTTTTAAGTAAAATAATACTTTACCAAATAAGGAAGATGCTACTAGCCACACTCTACACTAAATATGTAATTACATCTAGAGGCAGTTGAAGGTAATGATTCCAAATAATGAAATGAAAAGGTTAAGAAATAATGACCAACACTTAAATAAACTTGTTATGGTTCATAACCAGCAGCAATGAAGTTAAGTAGATGCCATAGAAATTAATGAGCTATTATGGTCTGACCAATAACCCATTTAATAACCAATATTACTAGTAATATATGTACATGTATATCACTATTATCATTATTAGTAAGTATCATCATCATCATTATTATTATTATTATTATTATTATTATTATTAATTATTTACCCCATGGAGTCTTATTTCTCTGTGTCCAAATCTCAGTTCGTATAACTTCCCATCAACTATTGGTTTACTATTGGGAACAGAATCAAAGTAAAGTACATGTAACCATACAACATGAACATGAATTAATGAACCACACAGTACATGTACATGTACACATGAATGTAATAGCTACTTTATATACATTACATATAGCACCTCTCTCTCTCTCTCTCTTCATTTCTCTCTCTTCCTTTACATCCACTGTAAATCAATAGCTAATTTTTGCAAGTTAAAAAAAATTCATGGGTTCAGTTCTTAATTTGGCAATATTTCAAAAAATTCAAAATGACCCAAATAAATATTTTCGACCTAATCCTAATCCCAATTATACATGCACATGTACATATGCACAAGCCCCACCCACTTACTTGATATCAATAGGATGTTCCACTTGACAGTAGTGGCCCGGGGGGATGGTAACGAAGGGAAGAGGCCCGGCTTCAAGAGAATGATTGTCCTGTAGGACAAGATTCTGCGGTCCAATCTCCACAGTAGTTATATTAGTATTCTGTAGAGGGACAGGAAATAGAGGGAGAAGAAGGAAATTGACATTAT